AACATCTTTAGTGAAATTGTTGACCATCGAGATCATAAAGGTCATTCAAGATGGTTCAACACTACTAGAGTGTGGTCATTATTCAAGCTTATCTCAGTGCTGTGGTTTCAACATCTTTGATGAAATTGTTGACCATCGAGATCATAAAGGTCATTATCACACCTCCAGGATAGCTTATCTCAGTGTAGCTTATCTCCGTTGTGTATAGTTTGAACATCATTTGATCAGGATATGGTGTCATTAATTGCTTTGACATCATCGACCATCGAGATCATAAAGGTCATTCAAGATGGTTTCAATGTTGACCATCTTATCATAAAGGTCATTACAGAGATGTTGTACAAGAGTGTGGTCATTATCACACCTCCAGGATACGTAGCTTATCTCAGTGTTGTGTATAGTTTCAACATCTTTGATGAAATTGTTGACCATCGAGATCATAAAGGTCATTCAAGATGGTTCAACACTACAAGAGTGTGGTCATTATCACACCTCCAGGATACGTAGCTTATCTCAGTGCAGTGCATCTTTGTGACCATCGAGATCATAAAGGTCATTCATAGATTTCAACACTCTTTCATTATCACACCTCCAGGATGTAGCTTATCTTGTTTGTATAGTTTGAACATCTTTGATGAAATTGTTGACCATCGAGATCATTAAAGGTCATTCAACACCTCCAGGATATGTAGGTTCAACACTACGTGTATAGTTTGAACATCTGTGGTCATTATCACACCTCCAGATGGTTCAACACTACGCAGTAGCTTATCACACCTCCAGGATATGTAGCTTATCTCAGGTCTTGTGTATAGTTTGAACATCTTTGATGAAATTGTTGACCATCGAGATCATAAAGGTCATTCAAGATGGTTCAACACTACGAGAGTGTGGTCATTATCACACCTCCAGGATACGTAGCTTATCTCAGTGTTGTGTATAGTTTCAACATCTTTGATCAAATTGTTGACCATCGAGATCATAAAGGCCATTAAAGATGGTGCAACAGTACGAGAGGGGTAACAGTGGATTGGTGTACCATTCATGCATCATAATTGTGATGTGGCATCATGCTTCTAAGTAACCATGGTAACGGTGTCATTGCGTTCCATTAATGTATCATGACAGAGATATGATAGCTGTGGCAGAGTTGTCTTACGCAGCACTCAACATGTACGATATATCAGAAGGATTTATTATTCTGTCAAAAGAAATGTTTTGAAATTTGAGTTAAGCTTCTTGTAATTCATTTAACATAACTTCACCTCTGGCAAAACTAATCTATTACTGACAAGATGTGACGTTAGAATACACACATTTAACGTTCAACATGAAGAAACTTCAGACAACAAAACCCAGCCTATGTCATTGCCAAGACAAACAGGAGTGGCGCCAGTGGCTACGGATGCTGATTGGTTATCCATGTCACATGACCCAAGGTTCCAGAAACATCCTTTGATAACTAAAATACTTTGATTTGTTTGACAGTTGTTTGACCTCAGACACATTGTGTTTATTTGAACGGGTATGTTTTTATTAGTTGTGGAATATTATGCTGCTTTTAACAATATTCTACCTCTATCATAGTGGTGAACACTTAGTATCCATGTTGGGGATTGAACCCAGGTCTTGCATGTGCAGAGCAAACATTTGACAACTGGGCTAAGCAACCTGTTTGATTTAAAAGTGGGGATCGAACACAGGTCTTGTGCATGTTAAGCAAATGTTTGACAACTCGGCTAACTAACCTGTTTGCTTGAAAAGTGGGAGACCATCGGATTCCTTTTTTCATAAAAGCCCCAATTCTTTCTTGTGTCGATGACAATTGTAGGAAATCCAGGTGAGACTGACAAGTGTTCATGAATAAGACATGTATATAAATATTCAGATATATTTGGAATAGACTCCAAAGAAAAGTAATGTCAGTAAACAGTCAACATATCAACAGACATATTAATAATCTTCAACTGTTTTTGGTCTGTACACTACAACCATATACTAAACAAAAATGTCAAGGGTTGTAAATAATTTTTCATAGTGAAGGCAGGCACAATTCTAAAAATGTTGCTAAAATATGATGTTGATAATCCTGCTTTTGTTCAGTGTACAACAATCATATCTTAGCAGAATTGTTACAAATCATGAACACTGTTTGAGGGATATGTTTAGAAGTGCACATTTTAATTAAATAGCCCAAATAATAGTAGTGATCCCTAATTTTTTCTGTGTAAAACAATTATATATTCAACAAAGCAACTTACTGATCATGAATACTTTGTGGGGATACTTTTTGTAGTAAAGACAGAGAATGATTTCATAGAAATATTGTGAATAATATTCTTGCCCCTTTACTTTTTTGCTCAGTATATTTGATGGACATGTTGATGATGCTTGGTGCTGAAGCCCTTGTATCCTGATGTTTGGTTAAGAGGCTAGAATCGGGTCCAGCTTCAGGATGTTTTAAGACAGCTCCCTCCCTGACTCTGTTGAAACCGAGAGGGTAATCTTGTATTTTGTCAACTGTTAAATGTAGTCTGTGACAGGCTTGTGACAGAACCCAAATAAGGTCATTAATTGATTGCCGAACAAATTAACTACATTATGGAAAGCTTTAGTGTTTTGTTACTCGTTTACGCTGAAGGATTGTCCTTGGACTCTTCACCGGCATTGAGGACTACAATGAATCACAGACAGGAAGAAAATGAGACAAATGGAAGGATAATTATTGCCTGGTTGGTTCCTTCAGAGTGACAAATAGTTCTTCTAGTATTGCTGACAATGTGATACCATCAAGTCGCTGTTGGGAGTTCGTATGAGGATGGAATGAGATCCTACCTGCTCACTAACACCCCAAAATGTTCTGTTAAAACGACGATGAAAAGGCCTCATTTGACCATGGACATGCCTCACTCTGTGACAGTCACATTGCTAGCCGGTCCATCATTTGGACACAATCTGTGCAAACTGTTTCCTGCTAAGAACCCTGTTTTATCGGGATGAGTTTCGATAGATTTTACTCTTAAACTTGTGGTGAGGGAGGTGAAATGGGGCTGAACATCGCTTTTAAGATTATTGCATTTTTATTGCTTTTAAGATTATTGTACTTTTATGGCCACATGGATGTGTGTTGGGCTGTATGTGTCAGTGCAGACTGAAGTCTGTTTTATAGCACTAAAACCATGCTGCAGTTTATTGTGGATTCCCTACTCAGACGATGTAAACGAGCCAACCAGTCCTCTTTTATCCCAAGGGGCGGTGGGGTAGCCTAATGGTTAAAGCGTTGGCTCGTCACGCCGAAGACCCGGGTTCGAATCCCCACATGGGTACAATGTGTGAAGCCCGTTTCTGGTGTCCCCCGCCGTGATGTTGCTGGAATATTGCTAAAAGCGTAAAACCAAACTCAGTCAGTCTTTTATCCCATGATGCTGAGTGCCAGATGGGGTAACATGTACCATATTTTAATTCTTTTGGTATGATGGGCAGGGGACTGAACCACAGCCTCTCTTGGCAAACACTCCATCCAGTAGACCACCAAGGAATACATAGCTACGTTCACTAAGGCACCACAGTTTTGTTGACTCTTGTGCTGGCTCTTGAAGTGGTAAGCAGGATAATAGAGAGTTGAATGTCTTTCAATGACATTTAAAAGTGATGCTTTGGAAGTAAAACTATGAGATCTTCTACATCATGCATAAGGTGACACATATTGTTGGCATTGTCAAAATCCCATATCAACATCATCGTCATCATCATCATCATCATGGTGGTGGTATGAATTTTACATCACCTTACACAAGCACCACACAAAGTTTTGTTTCACCAACTATTACTGCCAAGTGAGTTTAGGTTGAATATAAGTAATATCTAAATAGTGACGAGTTCCACTTCTTCCTCCAGAATGTGGCAGGCTTTTACCCCACACCAAACTGATATGATGATATATTACCCAAACACTGTTTTACACTGGGTGATAAGGTAGCCTGATGGTTAAAGCATCCGCTCATCACTCTGAAACCAGGGTTCGATACCCCACACCAAGCTGATATGATGATATATTACCCAAACACTGTTTTAAACTGGGTGATAAGGTAGCCTGATGGTTAAAGCATCCGCTCATCACTCTGAAACCAGGGTTCGATACCCCACACCAAGCTGATATGATGATATATTACCCAAACACTGTTTTAAACTGGGTGATAAGGTAGCCTGATGGTTAGAGCATCCGCTCATCACTCTGAAACCAGGGTTCGATACCCCACACCAAGCTGATATGATGATATATTACCCAAACACTGTTTTAAACTGGGTGATAAGGTAGCCTGATGGTTAAAGCATCCGCTCATTACTCTGAAGACCCGGGTTCGATACCCCACACCAAGCTGATATGATGATATATTACCCAAACACTGTTTTAAACTGGGTGATAAGGTAGCCTGATGGTTAAAGCATCCGCATATTACTCTGAAGACCCGGGTTCGATACCCCACATGTGGGCACAATGTGTGAAGCTCATTTCCAGTGCCCCCCCCCACGATATTGCTGGAATATTTCTAAAAGCGGCGTACAATCATACTCACTCTCTGTTTCTAACAGTGGTAAAACAGAAACTCTCTCACTTGTTCAAACACCAGTTAACGTTGGTCAAATTGTTTGTTACCTTCTTGTTATTGACAATTTCATTGGTCACTGTACCCGAACTGTGTTACACTGGTGACCAATCATATGCCAGATATGGTAGTAATCAATAGTTGTTCGTTTTAATTGTGAAAACGTGAGATATAGCGTGATGGCAAGACACAGCAAATGGTCTGTGATTAATGGAGCTTGTGATAAATATGATGAATGGCAGTCTGTAATACTGGGCACAAACTGTGTCTTATCCACTGAGCAATTTATTAACCATTTGTATTGTGCCAATGTTTGGGAATGTGTTAGCCTGCTCCAGCTAAATACAGAATACACATTTGTAATCAAGTTTGTTTTGTTTCTCTTTTCTGCAGGAAACTTTTGTCCCCCAGCAAGGTCGCCGCGTTACGTGGTACAGCTGTGGACCGACTGTGTACGATGCCTCGCATATGGGTCATGCAAGGTGAGATGACGGCTGATTTACCAGCATCACCTTCACATGTTGCCACCATCACCAAGACATATTGCCACCCATCACCTTCACATATTGCCACCCATCACCTTCACATGTTGCCACCCATCACCAACACATATTGCCACCCATCACCTTCACATATTGCCACCCATCACCTTCACATATTGCCACCCATCACCTTCACATGTTGCCACCCATCACCATCACATATTGCCACCCATCACCTTCACATATTGCCACCCATCACCTTCACATATTGCCACCCATCACCTTCACATATTGCCACCCATCACCAACACATATTGGCCACCTCATCACCAACACATATTGCCACCCATCACCAACACATATTGCCACCCATCACCTTCACATATTGCCACCCATCACCTTCACATATTGCCACCCATCACCTTCACATATTGCCACCCATCACCTTCACATATTGCCACCCATCATCAAACACATATTGCCACCCCATCTTCAACACATATTGCCACCACCTTATCATTGCCACCCATGTTGCCACCCATCACCAACACATATTGCTATCACCTCATCACCTTCACATATTGCCACCCATCACCTTCACATATTGCCATCCATCACCAACACATATTGGCCACCTCATCACCTACCCATGTTGCCACCCATCACCAACACATATTGGCCACCCATCACCTACCCATGTTGCACCCATCACCAAGACATATCACTCATCACATATTGCCACCATCACCTTCATATTTACAGCCACCAACACATATTGCCACCCATTACCACCCATCACCTCATCACATCTTCACACCCACCACCCATCACCTTCACATATTGCCACCCATTACCTTCACATATTGCCACCCATCACCAACAACACATATTGCCACCCATCACCAACACATATTGCCACCCATCACCAAGACATATTGCCACCCATCACCCATATTGCCACCCATCACCTTCACATATTGCCACCCATCACCTTCACATATTGCCACCCATCACCTTCACATATTCGCCACCTCATCACCTACCCATGTTGCCACCCATCACCTTCACATATTGCCACCCATCACCAACACACATATTACACCTCATCACCTACCCATGTTGCCACCCATCACCAACACATTTTGGCCACCTCATCACCTACCCATGTTGCCACCCATCACCAAGACATATTGGCCACCTCATCACCTTCACATATTGTCGACAGCATCACCTAGGTACACCACCTACACACCACCATGACCCCAGGTACACCACCATGACCCCAGATACACCACCATGACCCCAGGTACACCACCATGACCCCAGGTACACCACCCACACACGACCATGACCCCAGGTACAACACCATGACCCCAGATACACCACCATGACCCCAGGTACACCACCCACACACCACCATGACCCCAGGTACACCACCATCACCCCAGGTACACCACCCACACACCACCATGACCCCAGGTACACCACCATGACCCCAGGTACATCACCATGACCCTAGGTACACCACCATGACCCCAGGTACACCACCATGACCCCAGGTACATCACCATGACCCTAGGTACACCACCATGACCACCATGACCCCCGGTACACCACCATGACCCCAGGTACACCACACACACTGACATGACCCCAGGTACACCACCATTACCCCAGGTACATCACCATGACCCCAGGTACACCACCATGACCCGAGGTACACAGCCATGACCCCAGGTACACCACCATGACCCCAGGTACACCACCTACACACCAACATGACCCCAGGTACACCACCTACACACCACCATGACCCCAGGTACACCACCATGACCCCAGGTACATCACCTACACACCACCATGACCCCAGGTACATCACCTACACATCACCATGACCCCAGGTACATCACAATGACCCCAGGTACACCACCATGACCCCAGATACACCACCATAACCCCAGGTACATCACCTACACACCACCATGACCCTAGGTACATCACCATGACCCCAGGTACTCCACCATGACCCCAGGTACTCCACCATGACCCCAGATACACCACCATAACCCCAGGTACATCACCTACACATCACCATGACCCTAGGTACATCACCTACACACCACCATGACCCCAGGTACACCACCATGACCCCAGGTACACACCACCATGACCCCAGGTACATCACCTACACATCACCATGACCCCAGGTACATCACCTACACACCACCATGACCCCAGGTACACCACCAGGTCCACAGGTACACCACCATGACCCCAGGTACACCACCATGACCCCAGGTACATCACCTACACATCACCATGACCCCAGGTACATCACCTACACACCACCATGACCCCAGGTACACCATCATGACCCACGGTACATCACCTACACATCACCATGACCCCAGGTACATCACCTACACACCACCATGACCCCAGGTACACCACCATGACCCCAGGTACACCACCATGACCCAAGGTACATCACCTACACATCACCATGACCCCAGGTACATCCAGGTACATCACCTACACATCACCATGACCCCAGGTACACCACCATGACCCCAGGTACACCACCATGACCCCAGGTACATCACCCACACATCACCATGACCCCAGGTACATCACCATGACCCCACATCACCATACACATCACCATGACCCCAGGTACATCACCATGACCCCAGGTACACCACCATGACCCCAGGTACATCACCTACACATCACCATGACCCCAGGTACACCACCATAACCCCAGGTACATCACCATACCCCAGGTACACCACCATGACCCCAGGTACCACCATGACCCCAGGTACACCACCATGACCCCAGGTACATCACCTACACACCACCATGACCCCAGGTACATACACCCACCATGACCCCAGGTACACCACCATCACCATGACCCCAGGTACATCATACACATCACCATGACCCCAGGTACATCACCTACACATCACCATGACCCCAGGGTACACCACCATGACCCCACACACCACCATGACCCCAGGTACACCACCATGACCCCAGGTACACACCACCATGACCCCAGGTACATCACCTACACATCACCATGACCCCAGGTACATCACCTACACACCACCATGACCCCAGGTACACCACCATGACCCCAGAACACCACCATACACCACCTACACATCACCATGACCCCAGGTACACCACCTACACCCACCATGACCCCAGGTACACCACCATGACCCAAGGCACATCACCTACACATCACCATGACCCCAGGTACATCACCTACACATCACCATGACCCCAGGTACACCACCCACACACCACCATGACCCCAGGTACACCACCATGACCCCAGGTACACCACCATGACCCAAGGTACACACCACCATGACCCCAGGTACATCACCTACACATCACCATGACCCCAGGTACACCACCCACACACCACCATGACCCCAGGTCACACCACCATGACCCCAGGTACCATCTAGCACAGCACTGGGAAGATAACAGATGCTTCACTAATGCTACTAATTGAGTGAGAATGATTCAATGTTGGTTGACTCGGCACCAATTGAATCCAGCCTTGATTAACCCTGACACATGGTCATCAATAGCATTGATAATCATTAGGATTCCATTCAATTAAAACGTCCTCAGAAACTAAATCAGTTTGCCAGAGCCAAACCCAGTTAATCCTTGATTTAGTCAACGGAAGTAGGCCCCTGTGTAAAATCAAAGACGCATGACTGTGTCCAACAATATTTAGAAAATTGTGTCATCACTCTGGTACAGGATATATACTCAACTCACTGGAATCAGTATTCATTGTGATGACCTTCTCAAGTTTGGAATCATGTGTGAAATGGTCTGTCTTATCAACCTACCTCATGTATAAAGGTCCGTCTTTTCAAAATCGTATCAAATGGTTAGACTATATAATGAGAGATGTGTATTGTAAATCCCCGGGATGTGAATTGTAAAGCTGGTTCCCAGACCTCTGCTGTGACTTTGCACTGATCATTTCTAAACCTAGGATATTATTCATGATTGATACAACTTTGTCTTGCTATCACTGATCGTAAAATATCACATTATTGAAAACTTCCAATATATAGTGGCGATAACTGGTTTCGAACCTGCAACCCTTCGCTCTCTAACTTGGCGGTTTTATCCACTAGGCTACGATGGATCGCTGTAAAGGATGAGATTGTTTATCAGTATGAAACGTGTAGTTCCTCACAAGACGGGTACTGCGGGCAGCGCACGTGCAGGACATGGGTAGCACATGCATTGCGCGTGCAAGGCAAGGTGTTGGCTGCCAGTCACATCCCAGTTGACACCGGCTGTTCCATCATTTGCGGGCTGTCCCATCAATGTTGTTCTGCTCGTGGCGTATTGCTGTCAATTGTTATATATTATTTTAATATATTTTACGCAAAAACGGTTGATAAGTCGGAGAAACCACGCCTACTCGGGTTTACTAGAGATTGTGAACCCTGAGAGGAGGAATGTTACTCCTATACATATTGTAAATGTAAGGTATTGTAAATGTAAGGTATTGTGTCATAAATGTAAGGTTACTGGTATTGTGTTGTAAATGTAAGGTAGTGTTGTAAATGGGTAGTGTTGTAAATGTAAGGTATTGTAAATGTAAGGTATGGTATTGTCTTGTAAATGTAAGGTATTGTAAATATAAGGTATTGTGTCATAAATGTAAGGTTACTGGTATTGTGTTGTAAATGTGAGGTATTGTGTTGTAAATGTAAGGTATTGTGTTGTAAATGTAAGGCATTGTCTTGTACATGTTAGGTATTGTCTTGTAAACGTGAGATATTGTCTTGTAAATGTAAGGCATTGTCTTGAAACTGTAATGTTTTATAAATGTAAGATATTGTCTAGTAAATGTAAGGAATTGTCTTGTAAATGCAGGGTATTGTCTTGAAAATGTAAGGTTTTCTAAATGTAGTGCATTGTATTGTAAATGTAAGGTATTGTCTTGTAAA